ACTTGGGAATAATAATACCTTCCCCATCTTCACATCACAGCGTAGTAAAATGTAAGACGTCATTAGTTTGAACTTCTATCCTTTACATTATGTGTAATAGAAATATGAGTTTATTACGGGTAGTGTTTTATTTCATAATAATCTTTAAGCTGTGTAGTAAAGGAAGGAATTCAGCGATGTGATATTTCAATGTGAATAGATTCTTGCTATGCTAAAATCTCATTCACATTTCATCTAACACTCTGTGGCCTAGGTTTGGACGCATTCTTTGCTTCTTCCTGGCTCCCAAACTGTTTCTCTGTGTCCTCTCAGTCTACCCCAGTATGGGCTGTGTGTTTTGCAGGCAACCTTTAATGGCTGTTCTGGGAGAAGAGTAACGTGATGACCTCACATCCTACAAACTCAGGGTTGCTGTCAAGGCAGCAGATAATTTTCTCGTGTATGTGAAGTGCTTTGGGAGAGTAAAAACTAAGGAGCTGTCCATGTGTCCTTCCTCTCACCAGTCCTTGAGCCTTACCTCTCTCCAGTCAGCCCTTTAGCCAAGACATCTATTTTCTCTCCCGGATCTCAGAAGTATTTCAATAATTAGAGTCCTCCCTTGAAAGTCATGTCTTTAGTCCTGCGCTGCCTAAACTACTCGACATGCTGAAGTAATCTTGCCAATACTGCATCTGTATACGTCAATGCCCCCTTTAAAATGTCCAGTGACACCCAGTCACTTATAAGGAAGCCCTACTGTAACTAGATATGACTAATTGTTGTTGTTGTTAAGTGCCATCGGTTCCGACTCATAGTGATCCTATATAGGGTTTTCTAGGAGCAGCTGGTGAGTTTGAACCACTGACTTTGTGGTTCAAACCAACCTTGCAGTCCAGCACATTATCTTCACAGACCCACACCAGGACTAATGTGACTTTCTGAATCTGTTCAATTAATCAATGTCTCCACTCATGCTTACACCCAATGATACTGAGTTACTCCAAGTTTCCAAATGCATCACGTCCTTTTAATGCTCAGTGATGTTTCTTATGGTCCCCTGTAACTACAGTGCCCTCTCCCACTCTTTTCTATCTGGAGAATCTCTTTTCATCCTTAAAGTTCTGTTACATAGCCACCCTTTCTTTGATGCCTCTTTCAAGTCTTCCTAGAATTCAACTACTATATGCAGCAGTGCAGGGGATAGTGATAGAAATGTCAACATCCATGTGTGAGATCAAGTTCAGGTCCTGGCCAGTGTACATCCTACACAACCACTGCCCATTGGTCAGTGGAGGCTTATATGTAGCTGAGATGCTGAGCATGTTTTAGCAGATCTCCTTGACTAAGATGATTACGAAGAAAGGTCTGGCAATGTACTCTGAAAACCCTGTGGATTACAATAGTCCAATCTGAGGCCAACCATGGGGATGGCACAAGCCTGAGTAGCGTCTAGTTCTACTGAGCATGGGATTAGCAAGCAGACTCAAGAGCAGCTAACAACAATAGCATAGCAGTTCAAACTCCCATTACTGTATATATCACAGCAAATAAAAATGATTTATTGGAATTATTTATTTCCCATTCTAGGCTATAAGCTTCATAAGGGCAAATATCATGTCTTCTTAATCTTTGGATCTCCAGAGACCAGCCAAATGTCTGACAAACTATAGCTGATCTATAAATCTTTAAGTGAACTAAGGGATGGATCCTCAGGAGTGAAAAGGCTACATGTCTTGTACAATTTGTGGACTGAGCTCTAGGAAAAGAAGTACCTCATGGGGCTCAATC